ATGTGAAGTCTGACAGGCCTAAGAGCATATGCAGCTTCCACATGGTCGTGGAAGTACAGTGTGCCAGGAACGATGCCGCTGAGGAAGACTATTCCTGCAATGACAATGAGTGCTGTTTACCATAAGAAGACTACAGACTCAATTCCTATCATAGCACTTGGTTCACGTATCGTTGCCCAATAGGTAAAGCCACTTCTTCAGTAGTGACTGCCTGTGTTAGTGACATTATTCCATAAAAGATGTCCTTAGGAAATCACAAGTTGAAATCCTCTTAAAAAGAAAAAAGTTAAAATTGTTCTAAGTAGTTGAATAATAAAATGTCTTTCACTTTGAGACCTAATACCACTTCTGTCTTGAAGAATTATGGTACCAAAAAGCCTATAATGCTATTCTTCCTGATTATTTTCAGGTATCTTTTGGATTTTAAAGTTTAAACCTAGCTTCAGTAAAACACCTATGGTTCTACTTCTGCCTCACATTATAGTGTTAAATAACCTTCTAACTTTTGTCCCTCTCAAAAGTAAGAGAGAGAAGATAATGTACCAGTTATCTAAGTTTGAGTGAGGTTCATATACCTGCTTAGTTTAGGGGGGTTTATTCCATTAGAATCAGAATAGCTCTTGGGAAGTCAAGCTAATTTTAGGATTACATAGTTATCCTGATAGCAGTAGGAATTCTAATAATCATATACAACCCTAGAAGAAATAATCATGACCATTTTGCTTAATCTGAAGATTGATAGGGTGAGAAGGCAGATCTAATTACAATAGAATAACAAATACTGAGGGAATTTAAAAAAAAAAAAAAACAACAGTATTAATAATCTTAACTCAGATTCTTTGGAAAAAGAGCTATTTAAGTCATAGTTCTAGCCCTGTGGCATTCTTATTGTGTGCACCAAACTTACCTCCCCCGAGGGCCTAAGATGTAATTAAGTCCTACAAAAAGAGTTTGTGAACAAGTTTCTATTATCTTCTCTGCATCCCTCCTGCCAAGATTTTGGTTTGATAGTATTCAGATATTTGCTTTATTATTAGCTGTTATTCTTCCCAGTAATGCTGAACATAAGGGCTAATCTGAAAATGTAAATTACATTATCACCCTCGTCCTACCAAACATGCATACAAATACAGTGATTTCTATAAGCATGGCAGAAGGGTTACAGACCAGCTACAGGCATAAACTAGTCTATGTTTTTTCTAGACAGCTGGTATTTTTCTGCCCTATTTATCTGTCCATGGAAATGCGTTTTTCAGCAAGAGCTCAATATTGTTCAAAACATAACACTGTTGAAGTTACTAACACATTGAATATATCTCTATTTGATTCTTTTTTAAAAAAAGCACCCAGCCATATAAATCAGAGTAGAAGTTAATGTAGTTTTTAAGGTTTTCCTCTCTTGCAAAAGGAGTCATTCAGCAGACTTTTTTTGGGGGGGGGGAAAAGAAAGGCACTTTGGCTTCAGTAGAGTAGTGAGTTGCAAGGTAGCTGCACCAAGTTGTTTCACTGTAGTTTTAGTTTGTAATACTTACTGCAGTCCTTTGAAAGACTTGCTTCCTGACTCCACTGTGTGCTACTAGAGAAAATATTTTGGTGGTATCTTTATTAAACGTTTCAAATAAAAGCAAAGGCTCCTTGCAGAAGCTTGTCCTTAATCTAAGTAAGAATTTAGTTTTAACTCTGGCAGCAAATTTTAATAATAAAACTGAATACTTTTTTTTTTTTTTAAATGAGACTGTTGATATTTTGAAAATTACCGACTTCCTCGTCCCTTCTAGTCCCTATACGGCCACTCTCCTTTCAGTACTTCTAAAAAGGACATGAACTCACTCACATGAATGATGAAGTTGCTTACAGTAATTATACACAAAAAAATTTTGACTATTATCCAGTCTCCATAAAGCACTTAATGCAAGGATACATGAGCCGCGTAAAGAAAGCATTGTTTGTATTTCTTGAAGTGCTTCAGGAGCTTAGATACATCTCGATCCATATTTTAAAATATTATTATTCTACACTCTTAATAGAGAAGAAGTTAACAGACAGATTCTTGTATTAAAAAACCCCAAAACCTTAGCTAAGGACAAATAGTACTGTTGAAAATGTTGCCTAAGAATTTATCCAAAGTCCCCTTTTTAAATTCAGAATTATAGGGCTCCTGATAGAACTTGTGGTAATACAGCTTTATTCTAAGACTGATAATTTTACTAGCCATACCATAAATAGCTTTCATAGTTCATTCCTCTGTTCTTTCCACCTTCAATTTTTAAATAGAAGATTACAAGGTCAAAGATAAATAATTATTCAGATGTCTATTAAATCTTTCACCTTCTATTTCTAAACTCAGTCAGAATAAATATTACAGGAATAAAAATGGTTGGTCTATAAGAATTTATACATAAACATACCAGATTTTCTTTAGTCTTATGATGGTCATTCCCAGAAACATCCTTTCAAAGGCTCAGACGTGGCTACTACACACTAGCTGTTCATGTAGGACTGAACTTAATACTCACCAGTGTGCCTTGCAAAGCTACACCAGCTCAGCCCTCAGGGAGGTGTTTTCCATCTTAGCTGCTTCTACCAGCATAGAAAATTCAGTTATCTATCTTTGCTGCAAGAACATTTATACTAAGGATGTGAGGTGGTGGTTTGGTCCTTGCAGCTTGCTGGTTGAAATTAGTTAATTGAAAACAATTCTGTTTTACACCTGATTTGATTCTGTAATGCATCAGAAATTGGCACAGTTTCAACTGGAATCAATGTTAGTTTTTCGTATTTCCTCCTTTCTTGATTAGCAGTGACAGGTTTTCCCGAGTCTCTTAAACAAGCAAGGAAAACATTACTAATAAATAGTTTCCTGAATAAACATAACGAATTTAACTCCATCATTCAACACTGATCTTCAATATATACAGTCTGCTGAGAAGTTGAGAAACGTACCTCCCTGTAACAATGGTAACTTACTGCTTCTGAGCAAGGCTGACTACTGCAAATGTCTCCAAGTGAAGATCTGCAATAGCTATGTCAAATTTTTACCCACTGATTTTCTGAATTCTAAATATAAATTTTTTTAATAAAAGAGTACATTGCTCATAGGAAGAATAAAAATCACATCAGTAGTGTTACATCTTATTTAATTGTCAGAATCCTGGATACTCTGCAACATAAAAGGAACAAATTCCGCTATATAGTGTATTATATTTATACACACTTTTTCCCCAGTGGGTTAGTTTGTAGCTGTGTCATGTAGATGCTCTACATGCCCTACCTAGCTGTGTGAATTCCAGTGCTGCTATCAAAGAAAAGGCAAGACCAACTACTGCAGTCCCAACACAGATTGGCTCAAGGTGCTGCAAAATTTCAAGGCAGTACTTGCTAATATTTTCAGTGTGAAGGATGTGTTTTTCCAGCACCTACAAGCTAGTGTGGTTCACTATCAATTACTCATATAGAAGTTATGATCTTCATTTCATAATTTTCTGCACACCTACAAATAAAGAAATATTTTTACATGAATGATTGAGATACAAAAGGACATTTCCAGAAAGGAGGCGAATTCTGTATCTATTCTCTTACTTCGCTGTTATGGAAGTGAAGTGATATTTTGCAGCCCAGACTAGAAAGTGATGGGATGATTTTTCGACAAGATCAGATCTTTTTGTTAGCATGGATCTAATAGGGATCATTGAGTCCGACTTGCTTTTTTGGCTAAGATTAATTTGTTTCTTGATTAAAAAATGTTTATGGTAGACTAGGACAAGAGATCATGGGTTACAGAAAGTTGACACCACGGATCAAGCAGAATCTTTCCATATTCTTTAGTGTTTCTTTTACCACTTTTTATTTAGCACCCAATTACTTTCTAGGTAGCAAATCTGTTGATATGGGATGTCCTAAATAGGAGATGGGATAGGTTTTTTTGAACTCTGCAAATTAGGCTGGTTATATACTGTTGATTAACGTTCTTGTCTCTTACGACCTTTTTCCTATTTGGATTTGAGTAAAATACTGCTAATGAAGATTTTTACTACTAGGACTTCTGATCACAAATCTACCTGGTATTCTCACTCTGAGAAGGATGTGAAGTAATCATACAGAGAGCAACAATTTGGTTATTCTATAAAATTTAAAATACATAACCTTTCAGGTCTGCAGTGTGTATTTTTCATGCCTTTATGGCACTAGTTCACTTAGCCAGCACACCTGAAATTCATACAGCCTTTGGTGTTTTTCAGATGGAAGAAATAACAGTATTGCGACCAGCATGTAGGGATACCCTCAATTGTTCTTGTAGCAGAAATAAAGCCCAAAAGTGAAGGCAAGGAGATTTTGCTTGATGTCATAAAGCATAAATGATCAAAGCATACAACGATAAAAGTAAAATTATCCGTGTTGTTGTTTTGTTTGGTGGTTTGTTTTTTTTTTAAACACACAAATACCCTAGGTAAAAATAGCTAAAAAAAAAACCATTAAGTATGGTTGTTATCAGGCTGCTAACTTAAATATCTGGAATAGATTGATATATGTCAACCTGTTTTCATTATATTGAACAATTTAAGAAAAAACAGTAGCAGCTATTTCACATTTTAAATCACAGGTTAAATAGATTGCTGCTCTTGGTATGCATGCTTTGTGCTTCAGCCTTTGGCTGTTCTAGTACTAAGCTATGCTTCAGGAAGATGTCACTTATAAAATATTTCTCAGCTTTTTTTCCTGGAATAGTCCCCTCCCTGCCCTTTGACACTTAAAAGAATTTGAGTGCTTTTAGTCTGGGCCAGGAAAAGATAAAAGGTAAGAAATAGAGCCAATTAAGATCATGAGTTTATTTGTTCCAGCTTGTCAGTTAGAAGGAAACACAAATGAATCATTACAGGTCTCAGTCAAAAAAGCTCTTGGGATCAGATTTTCTTAAGAAGGTATTTTACTTCATCGATATATTTGTTTACTAAAAAGACACCACTGAATGACTATATAAAATGTGTAACAACAGACAACATTCATGCTGACTGGGGCCTGCGCACTTTCTTGGGTGCTTGCTTTGGTGTTTTTGAAGACTTCTTGGATGACTGTATTGATTTGCCAGCTTTGGGTGTTGCAAAAGACTTTGCTTCAGGCTTTTTGGGAGTCTTTTTCATCTCTTTTTCTTTGATTGCTTCCTTTGGCATGCTGAGCTGCTTGGCTTTTTTCTGTTTTGGTGATGTCTGCAAGTCTGCACGCTGTTCTGTAACTTTATGTTTTGTTTTTGGAGTCTCCAGAGCTAGAGGTTGTTTCTTTCTCTTACCGAGGGGTGTTTTAGTTTTCTCACCCAGGTTGTCACCTTCTTCTGGACTTGGTTCCATTTTCTGTATTTAAGACACACAAAAAAATTACCCTTCCACCTAAGAAACATCTTTACTGTTTTTCAAGAAGGAGGATCAATAAAAACCATTATAAATGACAAATGCTTTCTATTGATTGAATTTGGGCCCTAGCCCAAATAATTTGTTCACATTTCAGTCGGGAAGCAGAGGATTAAACACAGAACTAAATCACGAAAATAATGAAAAAATAACAAAAGAGTAAGAAATTAAATAGATTTAACAGATGCAAGGATCCTCTTGGCCAGTCAAGTCACTCACCTCTGCTGGCACAGCTTTAAACCACAGTCCTCTTCTTGCCGCATTTCCAGGCTTAAAGATTGAGTAGAGATCAGCTCTATTTGAAGTCCAGCTGTACACACGCAAACTGACTGCACTCTTTATTTGTGCACTAGGCCTAGTATTCCCTAGAGTTCATCACATATTCCAAAATGGCCCTCATGAAAGAAGGCTGCTGTCACCAGAACAATTCATACAACCCAACTCTAGCTGTATCTATCCCAGGTCTCTGACAATAGGGTTCTGGCAATCACATCACATGAGCTGATCTAGACCTGTTGCATGAGAGCAGCCTGAAGCAAGCTGTATGAATTTTTTTGGTGGGCCTGCACATAGTCACAGTTTTAGTTTGGGCATCCCTGAAGAGGTACATCATTAAGAGTTTAAGGATATGCTCCAATCACGAACGCAGTATAACTAAGTTGAATTTGTAAGTGTTACTATTTTATTAATCCAAATATCTTTCCTAGATATTTGTTAAACGTGAGTATTATCAGTCTGGTTATTTTGCAGACATGATGACATGATCCACATCATCTCCAATACTGGCAACAATAAGTCCGTACGGTATTTCATGCAAGCTGCTAGCTCTCAATTTATATTATGTGATTGTTAATGTTGCATATTACTATCCTAGAGAATGTTATTTGTTTTTCCTCAAGTTTTACACTCCAGACAGAAAATGATACATTAAAATACATTAAAATTTCATCTTACAAGAAATTTTGAATTAAAAAATTTATGATTTACTTGATTAAGTATTAAGCTGTTTCTCAATCATTTAACCTTTCTACTGACTTCAGGCTTGTTATTTGACCTAGACAAAATTGCTGCTATTCAGAAAAATACATAAAAGGACAATAACCACTGGCTTCCTTTGTCTGTAAGAGGGGTTAACCGAAAAAAAAAAAACCCTCAAAACCAGAAAACCCCAATACAAACCATCTCCCCAAGGCATCCCCCCCCACATACACTCAACTCTTGCTTTCATGTTATATTCACAAAAAATCCAGTTCACTTCAAGTGCACATTGTAAGGAGCAATGAACGATTTAAACAGTTCAAAATCCTTAGTTTTAACTGAAATGTGAGTTTCTCAATATTATTAAACAATTACCTTCAGCTCAGCTAAGCTGGTTGTTTGCACAGGCACCAGTTGTGGAATTTCTTCATCATCATCATGATCACCTGGTTCTTGGACTACTTCTACTTTTTCTTTTATCACAAGCTCCTTAGTAGCAGCAGCAGCAAGATTAATTTCAGTTGTCAAAGTGACTTGACTTGAATTCAGTTTTTTAGCTGCCTTCTTCGGTTTCTTGTTCTTTCCCTTCTGGAATTAATTGGAAGTACATCTCAGACAAATCCCCGTAACATTTCTAAATGTATAATAATTGTTTTAATATGGTTAAAAATAAGATGGTCTAGCAACATTAATTTAAATATTGTTGTTTAACAGACCTGGGCTGGTCCACCATATGTAAAATATGAAAAAATGCACTACTTTCAGGATTTTATTATAAATAGCTCCTAAGTAAATGATAATAATGTCTCGATTACAGTCTTTAAGTTGAATATATATGCTCCAAATTTATTTTAGATAAAAGAACATAATAAGCAAAACTCAGTACAAAGGAATAGCTGATTATTTTCTTTTTAAAAAAGTGGGCCCCCCCTTATATATACAAATATATGATCTTGTGAATTATTCAGATGCCACTGATTAGCCAACAAATAATGGATGCATAGTCTGAATCCATGTATATGTTAATGAGTATTTTCAGAACACAAATAATAATAAACAATTATTATTAGAATATTAGAATAAACAATACAGGCAAAAGTGCTAAGAATGAATCTCACCTTCCTACAATTTAGGGCTAGAAACACTTAACTTACTTATTTCCAGCTTGCTTTACAACCTATCAGGGAGTTTCCATGATTTCGTTAGTATTACTGAGTATTTGAAGTGCTCAGAGTCAGGAGCGCCTAACCCATTTATAGCCATAAATGCCTGGGATCAACTGCTAAAACGTTTAAACCCAACACATCAGACACCATCATACATAAAAGGAAGCCAAAGAACTAGCTGTTCTGATTTTATGGAAATTGGAAGAATTTTTTTTTTTACCTTTACTTCCTTTTTTTTGAGAGATGGCTGTCTGTCAAGCTCATCCAAGTTGGAGATATTTGCCGTAAAAATTGGAAGTGCAACTGATTTAAGTGTTTTGAGGTGAAGAATTTTTACATTTTTCCAATTCTGCAAAAACAAAAACAGTGTATTATGTAAAAATAACCAGGCTGAATTATGAACTGACTTGGCTTTAACGCAGTCAATCAGCAGTACCTTTGGTAACTTCTTAGCAATCACCTCAGCTGCTGCAATGATGTTATCTAGTATCTCATCAGCTTTCATTCCAGTGTGACCTATACGTGCTGTACTGGAAGAAGTGAAGAGTAGTATTTATATGTGGGCAAATAAACATCCTTCGAGTTTCTTGTTCTTAGGCACACCCAGAGATGAAAAAAGCCTACTTACCTGCAATTATCTTAACTTTCATAAAGGATGGCTGGCTATTGTAGAAGTCTTTTGTAACAACAGTCAAAATAGATTTAGCTGTATCAACCTTTACATATTGGGGTATGCAACTTCTGCCTTATATTACTAAGCATGTTACCAATTTAGATCCTTTTAGATGCCCAATAAATGAAAAAAGTCTTACAAGAATAGAATATTTTGGAAGTAGTTTTCATCTAATTTAATAGTAATATTTTTCTAAGATTGTACATGCTGTTTGACAATGACAGTTGCCTAGAAATTCCTCAGGTATAATGAAAAAGAGACAAAAAGTAAAATGTTACAGTAAAACTTCTTAGTAGAACTACTGATTTCTTTATACAGGTTAAGGTTCAAAATGTTGTTCAAGTGAAGTATTAATCTACTCATACTTACTAGCAGCACCCTTTGTTGGTAACTGGGAGTGTGGTCCCCTGGATATGTTTTTGTAGTTCCTTAGCAAGATTTCTGGCTTTCAGGTTTACAGATAAAGGTGCTCTAAAAAAGAAAGCGGGGAAATTAAAAAAAAAAAAAAATTAAACAACACAAAACAAACAAAACAAAACTAATCCCCCCCCCCCAAACCAACCAACCAAAACTTTACTAAGAAGAATCTAATCTTAAAAAAGATAATGCAAAATGGATATACAGAATTTAAAGACCTACTTTTTCCTTTCATAAAAGTGTTTTCCCAGATGTGAGGGCAACAGCCTTCTAATTCGGTCATCAGACAGAAAGAGATCAAATCTGTTCAGGAGGCGTCGCTTTGCTTCAAATAGTTTATACTCTTTTTTGAGAGTTTTGTATGAGATGATCTGCAATGCAAGTAACAGTTTAGTCCCCACTGCTGAAAACCCAGCCTAGAATACTTCTTAGAACTGCACAGCATTAACTTGCGTAACTGATAGTCTATCAAGGTGCATTATTTTAGAATGCTGAAGACAATCAATAGAAAAAGGATACACTACTTTTTGTTTTAAGAATCAAACAATATGGATCTCTTGCATAGTAACTGCAAATCACCAACAGAAGTTGAGTACATCTAAATCAAGGTTAAATACAACTGTAATTTTCTAGTTTTATTGCTCGTAGTGTAAACAATCCAATCCAGCTGCACAGAACTCAAATATTCTTTTATGTTGCGAGTTTTTCAAAGTAAGTATTGAGCATTTATCTAGCAATTACATCTGATTGCTAAAGATCCTGTTTCAAATTGAAGAAATTATTCTGAGTAAATTTTGAAGTTTGGAAAAACTACAGTTTGAATAGTCAGAAAAATCTTATTAGAGATCATTAACTCAGAACAATTGAGATTAGAATATTAAACAGCAGAAAACAACAACTACTTTCGCTTTTCGTTGGTACAAGAGGAAAGAAATAACAGTACTATACCATTACATATCTCTTACCTGGCTAATGCTTCTAATCCCATTCTGGATTAAAAGTTTCCTGTACAGATTTTCAGTCTGTTCTGCTGATAAATTTGGTTCATCCTTTGTGAACAGGCAAACCTCAGCTGTTTCTGGTCGAATGCCATGGGGCAGTGGTCTACAAGGAGAATATGAGAGGGACAGGGAACGTCTAAGAGGAGAAAGAAGTTTTTTCCAGAACTAGGTCTACGCTGAGAAATCACTACCTTTTAGCAAGTACTACAGGGAAGCTAGATTCTGTTCTTTGCTAACTACTAAACATCCTCAGTGGAACGTGTATTTTTTTAAAGCACGCAGAACTGTAAAAGTTAAACAATCATATAGCATGGCTCCAGTCAGATACACTGCTGAATCCATCTGTCCTGAAGAAGGGGTCTCTATACTGATTTGGTGGTGGGTTAAGACAAAGAAGAGGTTGATTTCTTGAGCTTCAGGACTGAAAGGCACATACCTTGTAACTGGCAACCACACACTCGGTATTCTCTGTGAGCATAAAGCAGAGCCGAGCTTCTAGTTACACCAGAAGTGGGGGTGAAGCAGTGGCCTGGCCCGACAGTTCTGGCTCTCGGCTGGGGCAAGGCCAGGACAGGCCGTGACAGTCAAATCCCTTAAGCTCAGAACCAGCAGAGTGCTCTTTTCCGGGCCGAAGGACACGAGTAACCCCTGTACCTACACGGCCGAGGTGAATTTCTTACATTCTGATGAGCTGTGCCACCCGCGGGACCTTCCAGACCGTCACCAGGAGGTGGACGTTCTCCCTCTCGTTGAGGAGCAGCGCGTCTCCCTTGGCCTTGCTTCTGGCGAAGGCCAGGAGGGCCTCCACCGCCTTCTTCACCTGCAACGGCACGACAGCGGCAGCAGCCGGAGTGAG